AATATGACTCCATCTGATTTTACGTTAGAAATTTCACAGTCATATAGAAGACACTTTCAGCCGATAGACGTCTATATCACCTTCAACGTGTCCAGCATTTATTATATAACCGGCTGATATGCTACGTAAGAGATCATTTGCGTTTGGCTTTTAAATCAAACAGATAATAATTCACAATTTTCAACATTTTGTGGATAGATGAAGTTATACTTACAATACAAACCTAGAAGGTGTCAATCACGTTTTTAATGAAACTTTGCGTATTTGTAGAATTTTGAAAAATATTTGACACGTATTTTTTTTATCGGTCCACTTTAAAGGGTGAAAACTACTCTTTAAAGATATATAAGGGATAGACATAGAGATAGACATGACTAAATATTTCTTTGATTAATAATACCTTGCCTGGTAAATAATATATATTTACTAACAAGTAAACCTACGGAGGTGTCACTCACCGTTTTTAATGAAACTTTGTATATTTGTAGAACTTTGAAAAATATTTGACATGTATTTTTTTTTATTGGCCATGGTCCACTTTAAAAGGTGAAAACTATCCCTTAAAGATAAGGGTTCAGATACATCAAAATTTTTTTTAAATCAAAATGAGTAAATTTTAAGAATTCTTGTCACATTCACACAAAAAATTTTTAAGAATTCTTGTCACATTTACATTTTATTTTTTTAAATTTTCAACTTATTTCACCTAATATGTTAAATCTATCCCTTATCTTTAAGGGATAGTTTTTACCAATTGGTTTCAATTGAATGGCTGTCCTGCTCACTATAGCAGAAGTCTTCGACAGTGGCTTAAAAGGGGATACTACCCTTGAGGTCTGAAATGATACTTAAATTTGGCAATTTTTTGCAGTAAACTAATAAAGTCAATCAAAAATCGTTTTAAATAGTTTTAATATATAAAATTTTGAGAGTACAAAAAAATTTTTTTTTATTTTTATGAAGCGGCGTTATAGTAGAATCATTGAATCTCCTTTTTCGGTGAGTACATAAACAGTGTATACAAAATTTTGTACATCATTGGATCTGGAACAAAAATCCAAAGAATTTTATTTTCTACATATACTTAAAGCTATAGAAGTATGTAAGATTTTTTCAAAATATTGATTTTTGTAAAAATGATCAATGTTTGAAAAAAAATTACGATTTTCGACTAAAAATTTCTATCTTTAAATGTTAATAACAAAAAAGTTTTTCAATATATCGCAAAAATCCTATGTAGTTCTTTAGATTAAACATCTGAGAGTAATCTGTGCAAATTTCAAGTGAATCGGTTAAGAATTGTAAAAGTTATCATGTACATCTTGAAAACCTTGAAAACCTTGTTTTGAGAAAAACGCATTTAAAGTTTTTAATATGATTTTTTATTCATAAACTTATAAATTGGAATTGTACTTTTAGTTTGCAATACCTGCGCCATACAACTCAATTCCTTCAATTTCGTCATCGGCTTCGTCGGCTTCCTTCCTAGCTGTTTTTAATGCCTTTTAAGCAGTTTTTGCGGCATCCGTCCGCTCAAAGAGCGCTCAGCCTTTTTGATGCAGCGCTCGTCCGCTTCCGCGCAATAATTATAGCACATAGTGCCTACGGTGATATTTAGCACTTGCATAATTTGCATTAAACTTGCAAGACTATGAATGAAATTGCATATGGCCACATCTGTAGCTATGTCTACTATAATCTTACTGCTAGAGATCGTTTTCGGCGCAATCGACCATATAAGCTCTCGTTGTTGTTTTGAGTATCCTCCCAAGCAACGTGTTAATATATCGTCGGTATTCAAGTCTGTATATGGTATTGGTTTTGCAGCTTTATATACAATGTTATTTATGCGTATATTCGTGTAGTTTGTTCGTAGCTTTGGCCCTCTCCCATGAGCACCAAGAATGAGCACTCTTGGAACAATTTTCGTGTTGCAGTTTCTCATCGGTTGAATAGTGTAGCGTTTTATGATGTAGCGTCGCCCAAATTGCATCTTTCATTTTTTGAATAGAATCATGATGCCGTCTAATAGCCAAATCATATAATAAATACTCAATTCATCAATCAATGAGCCCATTAATTTACCTTTTTCGTCTAAATCTTTAGTATTTTTTTTTTAATCTCGGAGCCACTTACCCATACGTTTTTGCACATGATCGATGCATTCTTTTTTGTGTATAATAAAATCCTTATAAGATTGTGAATCTAGTATACTCTTGAACGTCCCCGTCGTGCTATCCCCGTCGCCAATATAATGAGAGTATTTAACATTATGCAACTCTTCGGAGTGCGACACCGCTCAGAAAAAACTCAGCGAGAAAGTAAGGTAATAAGCATAAAGTATATACCTGTTAATGATCTTCAATCATTAAAAAGAAGAATTATGCAAGCGTGCGAAGCAATTACTGACACACAATGTCAGCTATTCTTTCATTGAATATAATGCTTGTCTCCGGGCTGGAAGTCATTATTTTGAACAAAACATTTAATAATTAAATTTTGATTATTGTAAAGCAATAAAGAGGATAGACTTTATTTCGACATTATTTCGACATTATTTATTCCTACAGTTCTGCATAACTTCAGAAGTAAATATCTTTTGAACGAAGTGTTTGCAAGCATATGTCCAGAAGAAAATTTTTGTTTTGAGATCCTGAATTCATATTTTAAGTTTGGCGGTTTAATTCGGAAACACCCTGTATAAGAATATGATCAAAGTCTCATTATAAACTCTTTGAAGCATTTAATTGACCAATTAAAAGACAAAAATTTTATTAACTGATAAGTCAAAGAATGCTTCAAAGCATTTATAAGCGTCACCGTAGACCGTTACCTAAATGTTGTAACTTTTTAAAAAAAATTCTTAGATTTTTTCATACGAATTGGAAAGCTTTTCAAAAATACTGAGAAAATAATTTGAAAAATATTTTATTGGATTACACTGGAGAATCTTTTAATGCACCTTTTATACTATCTCTGGATGATTTTAAATTTGAAAAATATAATTCGCTGTGTCCCTCTGACACATGGCGCGAAAACACTTTATGAGAAGCCTTAGAACATATTCTAAGATTTCTCATTCCATAATTTTTGAAAAAATTTAGGAAATCTGAAAGGTACAGATATGATATATTCTACAGTTTCTCATTTTGTAATTTCTGAAAAAAGTTTATAAAATCTGAAAAATTGTGAAATATTTAAGAAAATCTTCATAAATTTCAAATTAAAAAAATTCTAGAAAATTATTTGAAAATTGCTGAGAAAACTTTTCGCCAGGTATAGCAAAAAATTTTTGTTTGCATCCTGCATGATGAATAATGCTCACTAACTATTCAATCAATACTTGAACCGAGGCATAGCGTTCTATAATATTCGAATTGAGATGGAGGAAGAAACACTTCAACAATTTAAAACGAAAAGACAACTTAGGGTGAAACCACAGGCTGAATATATTTTATCACAAAGAGATGTCTCGCTGAATTACAAGAAAAATCAAAAAATGTTGTATTATAAAATATGTTATAATAAAATGAAAAACGAAGAAATACCACATGTCTACAAAACATATCCTAATTAATCTGGATATTATTTAAATTGCACTTAGATTACTTATGTATAAATTGTGTTGTTTTCATAAAATCGTTTTATTTTATTTTTATGCAAAGAAAAATTAATTTAATGTATATTTTTGTAAAGTTAATTAAAAACAATTTAATTTTTAATGAAATTTTGTCAATAAAATACGATTAAACGCTTTTCTTGTTTTAAATATTAAAGAAATGTTAATATTTAACTCTCACGTAAGAAGAAAAAGTTGCCGAACCTTGAACGTGAATCTAATTCTCAGGAGCAATCGTTCAATTTTTTGGGAAATTTTTCAAAAATTTATAACAAAAACAGAGCCGTGATATGTATATTTTTTTTATCTCAAAAATCAAAAAAATGGGCATTGAAAAACTAGATGAATATTTCTGAGGTTTCCCTTGTAAGTACATCCAATTGTTTGCCAATTGTATCTTATTGCCTTATAAATTTTACGCACTAACAATCGCGGAAATTATATTGGCATTTTGATTTATTGCAGTATGGAATCACAAACTATTTTTATACTTATATTAATTGAATATTTATTACAGGTCACTATAGTTAAGGGAAAGGATTTATTAGCTTTTTTTTAGTTTACATTCTATTTGAATGAATATATAAATCAAATTTTAAATAAGAAGTACATCATATATTTAGTCGGAACTTGTGCTTAAATATAAATTTCTTGTGTGAATTTATATACATTCTGATTGTGCATGTGACACGCCAAAATATTTTCCGGACTTTTTGTCTCGACAGTCTGACTATCTGCCTGAAAAACGGGAGATCCGGATTCTTCGGCCGAGATAATATTTTTCGCAGTAAATTATTCGCAATTTTTAAGTTTTATCAACATATGACAATTAATATTCTTATAAAAAATACTTATTAACACAAAAAAATTATTAAATTGCTTGTACAATTTAATAAGTGATATTACTATTTTGTTCATGATCCATTTTAACTCCGGAAAACATTTCAATACGCGATATACAAAATCAGAATATACATAAATTCGCATAAGAAATATGTATTTAAACATTAAGATTCGCTTTGACCGAATATAAGGTTCTTTTTATTTAAAATTTGATTTATTCATATAGTCAGTTTAATAATCGTTTCATATTGAATAAATAAACTTTGTAATGTAAAATTTGTACAAAAAACTCAATTACGAATTTTTTATATTCATTGGATATACTACCTCGATCTATCACCTATACGTACAATTGTAAATGCACGATGTATAATATTTCCATTATTATAATAGATATATATATATCTATTATAATAATTATAATATTATAGATATATAACAATTTTATATTATAATAGTTTCAATTTGGGATTACATACATATATTTTTGGACAATATTTACTAATATAAGAATTCATGTTTTTTACAATAAACACAGGCAGTGACAGCACGTGTCGCTAAACTTAAATTAAAAGCTGAACCCGCCCTACATTTACTAGACGTCTGTAAATTGTTACGAACGGAAAAAGACAAAGAACGTAATCTAATATCACAGAAGGAGCAAGAGGAAGACACTATTTCTGATTTACAAGTATACTTCTCATGATAAATTACAAATTTTTGTAAAAATTTATCTTGTGCCTCTAAATGCTTTTCTTTTAATCTTACTATATCCAGAATTCCCTTCAACGAGTCGAACGTGAATTATACACTCTAAAACGCAACAATACTGGACTCACACCACAAATATTAATTCAACATCTGACAGGGGAAGTAACAGTACAATCTGCAATTGTAAAAGAGAAGCTTCCATCTGAGCTAAACGTAAAGAAGAATCGGATGCGAGCATTATCAGTAGTCAAGGAATATTCCTGTTTAGGCGCGGATAAAATTATGACTATGAGAAATAATTTAGATGTGATATCAAAGGCTATACAAGATTTAGTAGAATCCAAAGTATGTATCAAGAATAAAATTATAACATGTTTGAAAAGGGAAATTTATTTGTAATAACATATTGAATGGCAGGTCTTATTTACTTCTTACAAATATATCATTTTTCAGATGCTTTAAGCATCAATATTATTAATAATAAATGATTTAATAAGACCGTATATGTGAATGTACAACAAGTAAGATTAATATTATTAATTGCTCAAATCAATACTATTAAATCAATATTACTAATTTCTGTCGATAATTTGTGATATTATTATTATAGCTCTATTAAGATAATGATTCAAAATTGAAAATTAAATTTGGTGAACAAGATTTGATGTGTAAAATTTACACCAAATTATTTAAGCACTAAAAGATTCAATGACTGTTTAAAGTTTTCATTTCAGTTGTTGCGTATTTACATTACAGTTTTAAAAGATACTTTATTTAATGTTATTTTTAGATAACTAAAAATGATATCGACAAAGTGGGACCATTCAGACAACAAGCTGCTGCTGTCGGAAATATGAAACGGAATGCTCTTGAACGTTTAGAAAAAACAGAAAGTTACTTAGAGGAATTACAATCACGATTAAAAGAGAAACAGGATTATTCAAAGACTTTATTGGAGACCTCAATACCTAGAGCAGAAGAATTGAAAAAATATATCAATTGTTTAAAGACTAAGAGTACATTATATAAGCGTTGCAAAGCGGAGAGAGCTGGGCTAAAAGCTGAAAGTGGTGTACTTCAACGAACAGTAACTATTCTTGATGAACAGGTATTAGAATATGCAATTTATAGAACTTCTTAAACTACAAGTAAATCAATATGATAAATATGTGTATGCGATTTGTATTGTGATTTCAGATAATTCATTCTTATTCAGTGAATATCACACCTAAAATAATAATTCCAGAAAATTATATATTAAATAACGCATTAGCGACAAATACTCAGTTGTCTCATTCGATATTGGCTCTGCGAACTAATCTTGCTCCGGTCATAAAAGGTAATATAACAAGGTTCTTTTATTCAAATAAATAATGTTTATTAATTGTTATTAAACATGGGCGCTTACTATGGGGGGAGGGAGAGATCATTTTTTGCCCTCTCAATAAAATTATTGGGGGGGGGGGGCAATGCCTCCTCAATAGTTTTTACCTTTTGGTTTTTTTACAATTACAAATAATTTCTGCGATCAAAACTGCGTGAAAGCGTCGGCGACGTGACATATGCTGTACATAATGTTGATACGACGAAAAGTAGCAACGCTGATACATCATCTGCTGTCCTATGGTGCTTTCCAACAAGAGATACACATGGTGTGACATAGATCATTATATTCTTGTAAATATATGAGAGAAGCGATGTCGCATCGCGATTTCTGATTGGTGATATCCCCATCTAATTAAAGCAGCCATATTGAGCCCGTAGTGGAAAGCTATACATATATCTCCTTTTTACAGCTGAAGGGCCCATATTTGTAAACATATCTAAAATAGAATAATATGTTTGATATTTGATAAAAGTGAAGGGAAAAATTTTCGAGTAATCCAGTGTAACAGAAATAAATCTATAAATAATAACTTATGAAAAGAAGAGCATAAAAATCACCGCACAAGATATTGTTTGTGATATTTAATTATCATTACATTAATAAAACATTAGACGTTTCGGCCACAATCTGGCCATCTTCACTAAATTCACAATATTCTTAAACCGCAGAATTACATATAGCTGACATTAAATTCAATCGAGTAATATAATATGTATTATATAAACATGTTCTTTCATCATGTGAAGGTGCCTCGTACAACAATGTTGCAACGCCAATTATGATATTACGAAATATGTAGAACAAGAATTTTCAGAATCTAATTTAAAAAATTAACCTATTATTAATATCTTCTAGTCGAAATGTATGAGAATAGAATCGTTATCTGTTTTACAGCAAAAAAATGATGAATCTCAAGTACATCCTTTACACAGATGGAAATTTGTCGTGACATTGTGTGTTATTATTTGTCATATCATATATATTTACCACTATTTATATATATGTGTCAAAAGTTTAGATTGTTCTAGAATTATTTATTAAGTGTGAGAGAGATCTTTCTTAAGAAGAGGCAGATAAAAATCTTCAGTGTCATTTTGCTTATTGATACCATTTGGCCTTTAATATATATCATTTCAGAGATTCTTCTTTTCATTAATAATTGTTCTGTGTCTAAAATTCTGACATTATCCCAATTCATGCATCTCATTCAACTGGTGACGCGAAATCACTGACATCTCAAAGATGTATCTTCTTATGTCAGCTCTATGTTCTTTTATTCGAGTTTTTAATTTCCTTTTTGTTTGGCCAACATAAGAAGACTCACAATTTAAACAATTTATTTTATAAATCACTCCACGATGGTCCTCTTTACGCAAGGGATCTTATCCAGTTTTTATACATTTATTCATTTTATTTATAGGTTTGTAAGCGATATTAAAGCTCTGAATATGTGATAGTTTTTTAAATTTTTCCGATACTTTACTTAAATATGGTATTATGAAAAACTTTTTCTTGAAATTAGAATTAGAGTCGCTTTCGTTATTGTTGTACTCACCATTTTTATCTAAATTATTTCTACTTTATAAAGTTTTAATTCTATTTTTTATTGTTGAAAAGATGAATTTAAGAGGATAACTATTCATTAACAGAGTGTGAATCAAGTCAGAGATGTTTTTTTCTTAAAATTTTGAATGGGATAAAAGCAATATTCTATCTAATTGTCCGATGATTACACCCCTTTTATGTACTAACGGATGATTCGAAAAATAATTTAAATATCTTCCAGAATTAGTAGGTTTTTTGTAAATATTGAAGATGATTCTTCCTTCTTGTCTCATCAATTTTACGTCTAAAAAATTTATGCCGTTTTCATCGCCAAAGTCAACAGTGAATCTAAGCCTTTCATGATATGAGTTAAACAATTCCAGAATCTCTTCAACCTTGTCTTTATGCACCACTAACACAATGTCATCCACATAACGGAAATAAAAAGACGAGATAATATTATTAGCAGTAATAATTTCTTGTTTTAAGTCTTGTAGAACTATGTTTGCTAATATAGGGGACAAAGGAGAGCCCATTGGCATGCCAAAAATCTGTCTAAATATTTTTTTGTCGAATTAAAAAAATGTAGAGTTAATTATAATCATAATTGCTTTAATGAACTCAAGTAAAGGAATCGAAGTCTTATTTTCAATCAAGTTTATCTACGTTCAATGCTCTTTAATACTAAATCGGTCGGAATGTTCGTGTACAGAGACCACGAGACCACGTCAAATGATATAATACTGAAGTTTTTATCGATTACCTTTCCATTGAGTTTATTTACAATATCAAAACTGTTTTTTACATAACTGAAATTCTTTTTATTATATTATTATTGTCAATAAATATCTTTTGGAAGGTTGCCAATGGATAAAAAGTACTGTTTATGCAGCTAACTATCAATCTTAGCGGATGACCTTCCTTATGAATTTTTGGCAGTCCATAAGATTTTATTATATATTTATAAATAATGATATAAATACGGTTCTGAAAATAAATCTAATAGAAAAAAGAGATAAAAATTACGAATAGAGAGTCAACGGTGCGCAAAAAAATTTCTTTCTTTCACTAGAATGCATACGATTTGATCAACGATTTCAGTCCTTTTCAATGCAAATACATAAAACCTATTCCTACATAATATAAATAAATGTTCTAAAGTTACATGGTTCGATAGTTACATATTAGCAGCGCATGATATCTTGCATAATCATCTATTTATTACAAAAATTAGAGTTTTAAAAAGAGGTCCATGCTTAAGGTATTGTATATAACAGTGGTCAATTGTTTGATAAGCCAATGTATAAACGCCAGTCATTTAATAGAATAAAAATTTTGTGCCCCCCCCCCCCTTCGTTAAAAGTTAGAATTATCTAGTATTATCGCTCTAACTTCCAACGGATACAGTCACAAAATTTTTATTCTGTATTAAATTTTATTAGGTGTTGGAATTAATTCGTAGCGTTTTTTAATGAAAGAATGTTATTTATTTTACATGAGCATTAAAAAATACATTAATGAAAGTACTTCCCATCACTTGTAAAACGCTACGAATTAATTCCAACACCTAATATATAATTCTTAATTGACACAACAGCATTAAATTTTTCTCCGCATTATTCTCATAAAAATCATTAACAACGCTATGGTTCATCCAACTCACGATACATCGTTTGATATCATAATAATTCTATGGAAAATGACTTGTTTACGACTTGGTTTATCAAACAATTGACCACTGTTATACAACACTTTAAATATGGATCTCTTTTTAGAATTCTGAGTTTTGAAATAAATAGATGACTATTATGCAAGATATTATGCGCTGCTAATATGTAATATTAGCAGCTGCTATCGTATCTTTAGAACATTTATTTATATTATGTATCACAAATAGATTTTCATTTATATATTTACATTGAATAGGATCGAAATCGTTAGTCAAAATATATGCATTCTAGTTAAACAAAAAATTATTTTGCACACTGTTAATTGCGTTGATTCTTTATTGGCAATTTTTGTTTCCTTTTTTTATTAAAACCTATATTTCAATAGAAAATTGGTATGAAGAAGGACATATGTTTCGGTATTTGCGGGACACTTATTAATTCAGATTATAATATTATAATTATTCAATATTTAAAAAAGAGCTTTTCGAGCTCGGTACGTGTGTGCCGTGACAGTGTATTAATATCAAATGTTACAATAATGTATTATAATTATAATATCAAATGAACGTTTCGACCTTTAATGTGGTTCTTCTCAATAATTAAAATTGAAATCATATCCTACTGTTACTCGTTATCTTGCATAAAATTCAAGTCCTAAAATTCATAAACCGAACACTCTTCTAAGAATTATAATCGACACTATCAATAACAACTACATATAAATTAGCATATTACATACGTAAAATTATATAAGCGAACGTCCCAGTGGTACCCAGCTATATAAAAAATGGTAGATAGGTAGTAGAGAAATTAAGTAATATTAAATTACAAGAAGAAGATATTCTAGTACGTTGAATATAACTTCTCTTTACACAAACGTAACCATAGAATTAGTCATCGTTAGCATTGAAAAAAGTTGGCATTACATATCAACAACAACAAAAATTCCGTTAGATGAATTCATAGTTTGTGTAAGAATGATACTTCAATCCACCCTTTTTACATGTAAAAATATCTGCTATAAACAAATATTTGATGTGCCAACAAATGTTGAATGAGATCTTCTCTTTCACCTATTGTTGCGGACATAACGATGCATGATATTGAGATAATAGCTATTGAAAAACTATCATTCAGTCTCGTTCTTTTTTAAATACATTGACGATATTTTGTTGGCCATCTCGAAAGATAAAACATATAAAACACTCATAATTTTCAACTTTATTCATGAAACAACACATTTCTATATTTCACCAGAAATGGAATATCCGATTAGCTTCTTAGATGTCAAATTAATTAGAGAGAAACAACTTATGATATTTGACTTATTCAAAAAGAATACGATGGACAGATATTTCAATTACTATTCATAACATCCATTAATACACACAAAAGGAGTTATCTTTGGAATAGTTCGATAAAGAAATGTCAATAATACATCCACGATTTTACTTAAAAAATATCAAAGAAATAATTGACATTTTACTAAAAAACTGCTATCCATTAAATTCCATGTTCAAAATCATTAATAAAAGATTACAGTTACATCATAAAAAAACACAACAAAAAAGTAAAAATGAGGAATAAAACTAAAAAAATGTTTTACCATTCCATACATAAAGGATATATCAGAACAGATTTGCAACTATTGCTAACAAAGTCAACATGCGTGCTGCTTTCACAATCCCTACTTGCAAATTAAACAGATTCATTACAATAGACAAGGACAACACGAAAAAAATAAATAAATGTGACATAGTATATAAAATAGATTGCAAGGACTGTGAGGCTACGTATGTAGGATAAAGAAAAACACATGTTAGAAGTGGTATTGGTGGTTGAGCGTCGCTTCTCTCATACATAGGACTCTATATTTTTATTATTCGCCAATGTTAAACAAGGATGAGATGATCATGTGTTGTACTGAGTCGTTTGTTAAGGCGTATTCTGATTCTCATTAGAATGCTCCTCGGATGTTATGTCATCCTTGTTTTTACACAATTTCCATAAAAAAAGGGGCGATAATGTTGGTAGCAGCGAAAGTGCTACCAACCCCTTGGACACTAAACTTAATTTTCTACGGATTGGTAATATTGTGTAAATAGTAATCCGTTAATTTGCGCCGTTTTTCGGGAAATCTTTTTTTGACATATGTGATATGCATACGCGTATATCACATATGCATATTTTGACATATGCGTAAAAATATGTGAAATGCGTGAGAATGATACATTTTAAAAATATATATGAATATTAAATACATTTGATGTTTATCTTTTCTCCATTTCTTCTTTTTCTTCTTAGTCCTGTTGCTCATGGCCGAGCGTGGTGATTTCTTTCATATGCCTGTGGCTAGTTGTACACTGTCCATATGGAACCTACAGTTTAACATCGATTCCGTCATTTAACGACGAAATTTTATACTCCAATGCGCGTATAATGCGCTTTAAATGTATATTGAAATCCGCAAAATATAAATGCACTTTTAAAGCACATTTTTGTCCTGCATTATATCCGTATTTAATGCACTTTTTGGCAATGCATTCTAAAAAGTATATCTATGCTTATTGAGAAGCCCAATTAAATCAACTCATTTAAGCGACAAGTACAGACCTTTGCATAACCCGGGAAAAAACGTTTCATATATAATTATATAAAATTATATACAATTATATAAAAAATTGACATATACAATTATATATCATTATATATATATAAAATATGTCCATTTATATAACATTTTTTTTTCTCGGGAATGCATAACACATAATGTAGAACAGAATCAACTAACAAAGTTCTTTCTTTTTATGAAATTAAAGGAAAAAAAGGGATCGATTCATTCGTTTATGTAATTGCATGCATTGTGCAAAAGTATGCTTGGATCTAAATTCTAATAGGAGACCTAAAAGGTACATCTACATGTTGATACTTTGATGCAAAAATAAGAATAAAGATATTATTATTAATTTTTTATTAATTTTATTACTAATGTATTATACTTGTAATATATTTATAGTTAAGTACCAGAATATGGATTGTCAATCTAAATAAAAATATTGGAGTAGCAAACATAATCTCGTAACTTGCTGAAAAATAAACATTCTAAGTCAACTTATCACAATATAATATATCACAATAATTTTAGAATTACAAATCAAAATCAAAATAAATAGCAAACATAACTTGCTGAAAAAATAAACTTTGTAAACTATTAATATCAAAACTATATTAATATGCTA